CACGCACGCACGCACAAGCACACACGCACACGCACACACTTTGAATTTTATGCCATGTTGACCGATACATATTTATAAATAAAAAAAAATCTTGAAAAACTAAGAGTTACTTACTATAAAGGCGAAATTAAATTTCTAAAAAATTAAAGCTCTTTTTTTCTATCTTTCTGTTTGTCTTGTTGGACCTGTTAGATTAAATGAATTATAAATTAAATCAGCGTATTTTCTGAAGTGACTTGTTATTCTGTGAGAAATACTTACTTTCGAACTATTCAGGCTACGTCGCGTGGGTTTTGGATAATTAAGTCGAGTTAATTATTTTCTGTTTTCATCCTTACGTTTAACAGGAAATTTCCTTTAAGTTGATTAGTGTCTGTCAATATTAGTGCATTCAGGCTAGTACACTGCTATTTGAACTATAATTTTAGGTGAATTATGTCTGCTTTTCGGAGAACCGAAGATAATTTTCATTTCTTAATTCATTATGAAATGAACGTAGTTATTATTTCTATCAAATTATTCGTAATGTAGGCGTCACCTAATGAAGTTTTCATGTTTGAAATATTTGTGTTGAGAAACGAACTCCATCATGGAAATTGTATTAATTAAGTTAAAACGATATCAATATTTAAAGTTAATATGAAATAAAATATGAAGTAAAAAAGGATGTAAAGATTATATGTTTAGAAAAAATGCTATTCAATTACTTATCTAATTATTATTTACTTTTCCATTACTTATCTAATCGTTATCTTAATTAATTCAAATGATTACAAAATTAATTAATATTCATTTTAATTATTGAACTAATAATTAATTTTAATTAAAATTCGATTCTTGAACTCTGCGTTGTGCAACAATTTCTCAGATGCTTATTTATTAATAGAAATTTAATTTCGAATTACAACTGTTATATTTTATTTATCTATTATATTACCAATTCCATTATAGTTTAATTTATGAAAGTTTCATTATTAAAGTATAAAATTCATAGACGCAAATAATCTGAAAATTTCGTTTGTTATAACGCATTTGTACTGAGGTATTTAACGATACGTATACAAAATTTTCTGCATCTGTACTGCAATGATTAAATTAAATGTCGAGTTGCTTCTGTAATAATTAGATCCCAGAAGGAAATTGCAATTTAAACTCGTCATTAATTGAATTCTCGATCAACACAATTATGTGTAGTTGCATCTGCTCCTAGTTTACGGTATGTTGCAGTTGTGCACAACAATATTCGTGCTGAAATCAAATCTTGTGTCATATCGAGTGCGAAATTATCTTGATAGATTTAAACACTTTCGTTATTTTATACGCCGTTTTATCCAACCAAAAAATTTTGGTGATACAAGAAAATTATATTTGTTACGATATTGGGTAATGTAATTCGATCGTATGTAAAACAGACTGTAAATTTTAACATCTTACTTACATTATTTATTTGATTGTGCATTTTATAGCAATAGTAATAGATATTGAAAGATTTAATAGAGATATACGATGAAAAGGTTACTTGCCTTTCAACTCTCCAGTTTACATTTTATTATCTTGGTCATGAATTTTTGATAAGAATTTCGTTCTCAATCGATATATCACGTAAGCGTGTTCATGACATTTTGTTTTCATCAACGAGACACTACGAACGTGACGTTACTGCAGACAATTGAGAGATATCCAAACAATCTATGTGTTTACAAATCAATTCAACGTCTCATGATATATTTTAACGAAAATGTTTAAATTAAAAATGTTGAAATTTTCTTCTATAAAAGCTTTATATTTGTAATTAAAGTTCAAAGTTTATTCTGTAAAATCTCGTTATAAGAAATAATATATACTCTCTAATAAATTTGATATGTTTTGTATTATTTTCATTTAACGCGTATTAAATGAAAAAAAAAAAAAAAAAAAAACAGAGAACAACAGGAAAATATATAATCTCGAAATAAAAATACATTAATTTTTATTCTTGCAATTGGATAAATGTAGATAGTTTTTATTCGATTTAAAAAATTAGGTCGAGCAGATTACAGCGGAATACAAGGTATTAGCTCTTCAGTATCATCCGGACAAGAACGATGGTGATAAGGAGGCCGAAAAGAAATTTCAACAATTAAAGGTACGTCTCTTACACAGGAAAAAGTTAATTAATTTCAATCGGTTTGTAGTATAATCGATTTCTTTAAGCGCGTAAGCAAAGAGAGAACTTTGATATTTTCCATTTTATATCGTAGTATGCAAAAGAGGTTCTATGCGATCCTGAAAAGAGAAGCAATTATGATAAATGGCGGAATAGTGGTATCAAAATCAGTTACAAACAATGGGTCGGCATGAAGGAACATGTGCAGCAGGTGAGGCGCAATAATTAATGCACCTATTATTTGTTTTGGACGGTAAATTGCGGTACATTACAATATAATTTGTTTGTTTTTCATATATGTTGGAAAAAAAGAAATTTTTTTTTATCAATTAGTCACTCGCTCAATAGAACGAGCTTGTCAATTATTTTTTGCAAATTTATAATTTTAAACAGCTTTTATAAAATTCTTATTCAAGATGTAGAAAAGTCATAAATTATAGATGTTAAATAGCTATTTATGTTAAAAGGTATGTTAAAAAGAGAATATTTCAATAGTTTTTATATTGAAAGTAATTTATCGCGACTGTTTTGTATATCAAAAGAAGTGATTTTATATGAATCTCCAGTTTTTTTTTCGAAGTTTTCTTCTTCAAATTGTGTAGATTGTTTCATCAATTTCGACCAATTTCTCTCTCACTGAAAATAGAGGAGCGATCTGTAACAGCAATAAGGGGCCGAAGGCCTTTAATTTCACGTTCTATGTTACGTTTTGTGAAGTTAATCGGATCTTCTTCTGTTTATAGACTATGCATTGGAGCACACCGAAGACAAAGGACAGAATGCTGCCGGATGCGACCGAGGAGGCAGGTGGTTCACCAGCTCACCTCAAAGGTCACCCTACAAATCCGCACAGGAGGGCTTCAGAAGGTGGTGCCACGAATCTCTACTACCGTTCGGGTCATGGACCCGTCCCGTTTTATCAGGAGTCCAACGAGGTTGTCAGTAAGTTTCGCAATTACGAGATTTAAAAGGTCTCCAACGTAATTCTCAGAACCGATTCCATTATACCGGATGCCCTTATGACAACAGGAACATGTTGCATTAGACAAATATCTACCTGTATATGAGTGTACGAGGCGTTGGTCGGATCGCGTTGGCGTGTGCATACATCCATATTCCTTATAAAATGGCGAGTTAAGAGAGACGCCATCTCTCTTCATCGTTCGTCATCGAGCAATTTGTCACGTTTCTTTCTACCCCGTTTATATGCGATCTTGCAATCAAGAGACTTTTATTGTTGTTGCGTCACTCCTATTAAACTGCGAACGTGATGGTCTATCGTCGATATAACGTCGAACGAAGATATTTTTCCGAGAAGACTTCGCGGAAGCAATAAATCTTTTTATTGTACAATTTTCTATTTTTTCAATTTTCGTCAGACGCTTCGCGGATTGCTTTTTCGTCGTTCAAGGGTGCATGCCAACTCGATGCAACAAACCACCTTGGTACACGTGTATGTACGTGCTCGCGATTGTGCGTACGTATGTGTCGCCTTCAGATTTATATTTTGTTATACTATACTAAGCACGACGAGAGGAAAGGATCGAGGAATGCGGGTGGAGGACGTTTGGCATCATTTAAATTCCCTTTCTGAAGTCTCCCGATTAAACGTCCGACTAAATATTATTATAAATCGAGCTTCTCTCGATCGCGCATTCTATGTGTGTCTCTTGATCTTACGAGATGTTTAGCGATAAGAGTTAAACGATGTAGTGTCAAGGGCAGTATATAGTTTTATCTGTGATCCCGCGAATGAATTTTCCGCTAGTGGTTAACTGGTCGTTTTAATCGTAAACACACTGGAAGGAAATACTTAGGCGTCTGTTAAAGAAAAAAAATAAAACGCTATTTGTGAATCCATCATTCACAATAACAGAATTTCGTTGTTACGATTATATCAACGTACGTATTACGTAATTTAAATATTAATTAATATATAATTGGTTTCCATCAAATAGTCGTTGCTTTCGATGTAACTTATGCGCGTCTTTATTGGCTAAAAATATCGACTTTAAATGTCACATATCCAAAATGCGGTTACAAGATTGGGACGATGGAATTGCAAAATGATTGAAATCCCGGACCACAAACATTGTAAACGTCGAGTTTATTAGATATGATGTTTTAATGGAAAGACGTAACTAAATATATAGCTCTATCAAAATGTAAGATAAAAATATATAATATATAAAAGTAGAATAGTTTATATTAAATTGTTACATCTAAACTGTTATATAAAGTGAAATGTCTATATATTAGTATATATTTTGTAAGTGTTGCTATCGATTCTGTGAAACTGTCCTAGGTATTGATGTTTCCAACGTTTCTCTCCGAATATTTATTCGATCGTTACGGTATGAATTCAGGGATTTACTTAATTCCACGAAACACATTAGATTAACGTTTCGTAGAATAAGCATAAGTATTTCTTTCCATAATGGAACAGATCGACGATGGCGCACTTGTACCTGTGTCAAAACGCAATGTCAAACGCAAGATACATCATTCTCCTTTGATCAATTGCGACGGCTCTTTTTCATTCCGTTAAATGACCGCGTGCGAATTAGCGGCGTTTTATCTCTCTAAAACTGAGAGTTGAAGCTGGTGAGGTTTTGGCGATTCATTTTTCGACATTATAATGATACAAAAGCGAAAGAAAGTTATTTTGTGCGTTCACAGTGTCGAAATGTGAACTTGCCTGAAATTATTTCGATTTGAACTTCTGAGAAAAACGATAACGTTCTCGGTGGATCTTCACGAAAATTACACATAGTATTTTTACATTCCGACGCATTCGCGTCTTTTCTACGATCGATGCAGCAGTTGAGACAATTCGTCTGTGAATTGCGTTTGACATATAATTGAGAATGCCTATTTATAATCTTGATAATGAATATATATTAACTTAATACAGTTAATCCTGGATGTGTCTATATGTATAATCTTAGAATAATGAGATAAACGTTTTCCCAAGGGAGCTTATTCCTCATTTAAATTAATGACAGAGTTCATAATGCCTTTCAGTTTCGCTTTAGGTATTTCCTAGTCGAGCGCGTTGTATTTAGATATCTATGCATTATAAATCCGAGCTACTGTATTTACAACAGTTCGACACTATTAAATTTTTGACATACGTAAAAAAGAAATACAGTAAAAGAAATAAGTAATCGATGAAAGTACAGTTTAATGAGAATGTTCAGATACAATGTGTTCGATCTGGAAATGTTTGAATGAATGAAACTGCAAGACGTTAATGACATTAATGTACATCTTGCCTGACTCGATCAATTTTTCACTTCACAAAAATAATGTGAGTTTTCGCATCCTTCGTCAAAGTCCAAAACATATCACAGGTCCATTTCGTCTTTCCAAAGTCATTGAATAAATGGAGGGCTAATCTTGCATCTACACAAGTTCAATAGAAATGGCTAACAAACGGCTAGTAAATGTCAGTGTAGGAAGGCAAAATCAATATCAGCAACGAATCCAATGACATTTTTCTACTTTAATTTTAGGTTATCAGATTAATTCTTTTTTTAGGTATAAATTCTTTCGACGGAAAGGATATACCTATACATCGCTTCAGTGATGTATAATAATTACTTTTTTTCTGTAAGTTCTTCCTAGATAAGCGCACAGTGATGTCTGAATTACGAAATCAAATTATCGAAAAAACATTATTCGTATCTTTCTCAAGGATTAAAATTTTCCTAATTTGATCCTAAATGTTAGATCCGTGAAAGGATTCGTTGTTGATTGCAATTAATTCTTAATGTTACAAATACGGCAGAGCCGGAGTAAGGAAAAGAGGTCAAGTCATTACTTGTTTACCTTGTCGAGTATCGAATCTTTATTCTGATCAAACGTTTCCGAAAAGGATATTTTTAGAATCGAGAAATAGAAAATGAAGTATAACAGTGAAAAAATGAATAAGGGAAAAAAACCTAAGAAGCTACGGAGAGAAGAATAACAATAAAGGAAATATGTGAAGTTGCAACTTACATATGAATATTTTTCGAAATATCGTGGTCGCGAAAACCTTCCGCTTTCTTTTGCTATCGCTTCCATTCTCTTTTTATTTTTCTTAGATCCTTTGTTGAGAGACCTAAGAAAATATCTTGCTGCTCGACTTGTTTCCCTATCAGCTCTGTGCAAGCCTGACGTTAGTGCGCGGTCAATTGAATTAGTCGAATATATATAAGCGTCTGCTAGCGCTTCATATAGGATTTGCCACGCGATCGATCCTTCTCTACACATCTCTTACGAGACGACGGATGCACAGTTAAATTTAATGACATATCTGCGACAAGTGAATCGCGTTTGATTACGCTACAAACCGACACTGTTGAATCTATCGTATATCCGAATTTATCTATATTTAATAACGAAAGAGTGTTACCAATTTCTCAAATTTTTACAAATTTGACTGTTTCGAAAACGAAAATTTATAAAAAAAAGATTATGTATTACAGTTTTGATCCATTTTTTAAATACTTGTATGCTGTTTATATAAAATATATAAATTGAAATATTCTATCGGTATTTTGCCATAATAACTGACGTCGTAACAAAAATATCTAAAATGGATTTTTAATATCTCTAATCTTTTATAATTTTTGGATGGTATTTGTCAGGAGATTCTTTCGTGAAGTTGAGATTGAAGCTTTATTCGGACAAAAAAGGGATAAAAATTGGACAAAAGTTGGATGATCAAGTCAGTGACTTGAAAAAGTTTTAATCTCGTCGCGAAAGCGACCAAGTTTAGATTAGGTAAAACGGCATCGGGCAACGGTATCGGGCGTTCGTAAAATTCCTCCAGTTTAGTTCGATTTCTTTCTAAGCGATGAACATAGCAATTAGAGTAATAAGATGTAAAGATAAATGAGGAATTTGAAAAAATGTAGAAGTCAAATATTTTACTTCTGACAATATTTTTATGTTAGAAAAAAATAGAAAATATATTATCCTTTTGTTGGAAAATATTAGCGTAATTTTGCGCATACGTATGTATGGAAAATAATAAATAAAAATTTGATTTGGTTATTATTCTCTGAAGTTAAACGAACAAGATTAATTGTAAACATGTTATAGAACTAAATTAAAATAACATTGATCAAAATGAACAAAAAAGTTGTTTTAATTTTAGCATTCTTTTAACAATATTATTTTGTGAGAAAAATTGAACAAGAAGATTGCAGAAGCTTTCATGTACTCTTAAAAAGTTTTTCATTTTCTAATAAAGACGAGAATGAGGTCGACCATGTCTATAATGCTCGCTGCTGTTGAAAGTCTATTGGACCACCCTGTATCTATACCTATATTTTTCTAATCGGGACCGTGGATTTTGGCCCGTGAAACGTTATTTATATGACTATATCATACATACCTATTTGTCGTTTACGATTGACCTGTCGCAAGCGCCTGAGGGAAAGGTCGAAGTCTGTTCAAACGCCTATCAGTACGATGCTCACGATCGAAGAATCCGATATGTTCCTTTTACGTTACTACACGCGCGTTTACGATACCGTTCACATTGGATAAGATGGAACTTGCGCGTTCCCTTAAAAGCAAAATAAGAGGAAAAGCTTATTTTTCTTCATAGGATTCTATGATCAATTAAAGAAGTCTAAATCATTTTCCAATTTCAGCATAGATAATTAATTACAATTGTGTAAATTTTTATCTAAACATATAACAGAATTTTACATTAATTTAAAAAAACCGAACTCTTCCGCTCTATTATATAAAATAGACTTAGTGAATAGTAAAAAAATAGTGGAAGAAATATCTATATTCTAAATCCTTATATTATGTGCTATATAATAAATTTATTATAATTTTTTATAGAATTTAAACAAAATTTTCGAATTAGCATGATTTAAAATTGAAAATTTTCCGTTAAATTAAACAAAAGTTGTATTGAACGCTGCTTTTTAAGCTTCCGATATTTTCTAACAAAGTTTTAAATAAAAATTCAAAGCATATTGTACATTAAGTTGCTGAAAAACTTGTTTGCTTTCGCATTTGTAAATAACTGATTGTTAGTGCCGCTTATTAGTAGTCGTTTTGAAACTGATTATGCAACGTTAATTATGTTATCTAACATTTGCGTAAAGAAATCGATAACTGTATTTTACTTTTATGTCCACGACTATAATGATCGTGGATGTCAAATGCTTTTGATATAAAATTAATTATATAAAAGCATAAGATATAAAGTAATATTGTAGTTGTATATTAATAATGGCGAAAACTTTCTTTTTATGTGTCGATGAATTGATGAAAACAAACTGATAAAACACAAAGATATTCAATTGCTATTATCATACATAAATCTTCAAGAATATTACTTTCACTGATTAAAAATTAATGATGAAAGATTAGCGCTTGTAATATAATTTTATTTACATATCAGTTGACTAATTATCTAATAATTACGTAATTAGTACTGTAATTATATATATACAGCAGGTATTAAAAGTTAAAGTACAAATTGTTAAATGATAAAAAAAAGTCCGAGTTTGTTAAAAATGATTGTTTGAAGAAATATGATTATTACTGTTAAAATATACACGAAATAGCTTAGTCAATCAGGTATCTTGAGCAACTTACTAATTGGTAAACAGGATTTTCGATCATTCTCACCAGTCGTCAAGTTTTTTGCGTGCATGGCAGTATGGATGAAATTATAGATTGTGTGTAAATGTCTATATGCAGTTAAATGCGTAATCAAATACTTATGTTGTATATTCGTCTCGCGCTGGTCGATGCGGCGATGTATTACTCGTACCAATAAAAAATTCAATAAATATGTTTAATTATGAAATATTCTTCGTACTTTAATAATTTTTAACGTTTTATGACAATGTCTCGCGATAACATTCTGCTAATCATGGCATGTCAAAAATTAATATTTACACGACAAGTAATTATTAAACAGTTATTTAGATAAATGTAAATTACTTTTAAAGTTAATACGAATATAGTATATATTTCGATTCCTCTTCGTAGAAAATAAAATAGATGTATAGAGATTGACTATATATATATATATAT